TTGTCTTGGAGATGATGTTGTACTCATGCTGGTTCATTTGACTCAATTGGGCATTGGTTGTTGGCGTATCTTGCTTCACTGGTCCAATTCGCTGAATTGAGTGTTGAGCCTCCATGAGCTCTGTACGAAGCTTGCTGACTTCCAGTTCCAGATTCGTGATTCGCTCAAGATAAATTCCTTCATGGAGTTGTTGTTCTGCTTTCCAGTTGGATAGCTCCTCTGCCATGTGTGCTTGCACTTGTTCTAGGACCACCTGGTACACTTCCTGTTGCTGTGTTTGGGCTGCTTCTAGGGCCCCCACTAACACCTGGGCGTGCTTGCTTGCGTCTAGTAGGGAAGCCTGATGCTTTGGCCTACCAATAAATGACTTTTGTAGAACCCTTCGTTGTCTGATTCCACTTCTAGCCTCGCTGGCCCGGCTGGGGGTCCTGCTGGAACCCCCAGGTTGCCAGCGCTCCTGGTCTTCATTTTCATCTATGCTCATAACCTCCACACTGCTATCACTGAGCATGGGCTGCATCGCATTCCTGGATCGCCGGTGGGTTGGTGTTGGGGTGCCTGGCATGTCTGGCGTTCCCGTGAGCTGGGAGGCCACGTTGCCCACTCCGGGGGGCAACGCGTGCGATATACCACCACCACGGGGTCTCTGTGCCTCCATGGTGGTTTATAGGTGCCAGAGGGCCCCTATCGGTTGATTAACGCGTGAAAATTACGTGTTTTTCGTGGGTGCTGATTTTTGCTTTTCCTCTTTATTGGTATTCCTGATCCTGACTTTCTTGCTTGCTGAACTTGGCAGGTCCAGTTTTTAAAGATCAGACATCCTCTCCCAAAACGGATGCAAGATCGTTGTATATTAGTAAGTTTAAGTGCAATAATGTCAATGCAGCCTTCCTTTTGATAGGGGTGTGAATCAATCATTTGTTGCATATCGACAATCTGCGTGTTTTCTGGTTCCCATGGTGCGATTGCGACGAAGTGGAGTGAAATAAGAAGCTTACCAGTACTGTTCTCCAGAAGAGACAGTGTTCTTGGCGTTTTCACAGGCCATTTTTCAAATGATGGGGGATTTGTCTTTTTACCACATAGATGGATTTTCCAACTATAGGAAGTAGTTCGCTGTCTGTCTGTGGTGTTGGCTCACCATATCTGCTTGACACTGGAACATGTGACTTTAAATAATGCCTCTAATGATACATCACCATAAGTATAGATCCTCTTCAACACGCTTATACTTATTTTGGAGTGAGCACGAAGACTTTAAGTCGTAACTAATTTTGCTGACTAGAAAGAGATGATCGCTAAGGTATGTTGCGCAATAGTAACTTATAGTGCTATCATAAGTCTATGTCCATGACAAAGCATGAAAATTAGGCTATGTCGCGATTCGGAATAGTAATACTAATGAACTGAATTCCTATTTAAACTATCCTAGTCATCGACAAGAATGTCGAATCTAAAGAGGAAAGAAGAGAAGGAATCTATCTACAAGAGAAAAGGGGTTCTATCTATGGGTTCTGTGACCACGCCAACTCCTTTCTTTGTTTGCTTGCATGGCGGCATTGAGCCGTCACAGATGCCCTGATGCAAGCTTAAAGCGGAGGTTTTGTCACGGAGCACAGACACTCACCAGCAGTGCGAGATGTTTGACTACTTTAGCCTGTTTGAATATAGGGCAGGAACCCCCTTGCACACTAGATAGCATAGTGCTGACAGGCCCAACTTTTTCCTTCTCCATGTTAGTATCCCGCTATATAGTCTACCAAGAAATTCATATTGTTTGAGACTATCATATGAGATTGGGTCTTTTTTTTTTTTTTTTTTTAACACCGGTAAGCTCTGGAGCCTCCGATGGAGTTATCAGGTCGGTACCAGCAGGTTGATATAGCAAGAAGAGATTAAAACAGAGAAGACCAAGGAAAGAAGAAATAGTACAATGAATACAAAGCATCTTCAACAAGAAACCAACATTTTACGTAGACACCTGCAAGACCCCAGGCAAGCTGCGGGCTCTTTGAAAAGCAAAAATGATGGACTATGTGACTTGCATAATGATATGTAATCTCAGTCATTTTTTTCATGCATTCGGGTTACAACAGTAGAGGAAAGTGGGGATTGATCAGAATGCATACATTCATTGTATAGTAATTTAACAGCAAAGTTATCATTTTTCAGACGCTTAAAAGGTCTACGGATCCTGCTTGACGTACGAAGCCCAGAGTTGCTATCCCTTTTAGTGGTGAGCTGTATTGGAATTGAGGGGAGAACTGGCTCTATCGAGTTTACTTCAGTTGAAGGATATGGTAAACTCACTACGCAGTCAGAAAGGTTACTAGTTATTATATGCTTGCCTTACAAGCCTATATCTAGCTTTTCTCTTCAGCAATCCCACTTCGTTTATACCCTAGTATTAGGAGTACATCGGGACCATGACATAGTGTGCCCACAAATGGCTAGAATTGTGAAATATGGGAGATTCCTGACACTTCCCCGGCGGAATATAGAAATGGGAATTGAAGAGAAATCGTTAGGCTGTGGTGCGACAACCATACACAGTGCGCTACTATATATATCGGTTCCCGAGCATGATGAGCATCGGCTCATCATAGTGGTCTTTAGGCCCAATGGTAGAACTCCTGAGCTCGGGCAGTTGCCCTAGCAGAAACTTTCTTTCCTACCCATCCAGACTCGAATGCAACTCTAATATGGATGGCAATTTAGTTATATGAAAGACATTCCTGGAATGATCAAATTGGCGGATCATGTACAGCCACGCTTGAATTGAAGATCGAAGCTAGTGCTGGGTTGGGTAATGTGTAAAAGCATGAAAAGGAAGGAATGACTAGCTGTGCTATTATTTAACATGTACAGCACTATATCAGAGCTATCTCTACGACATCCGCGAGAGCCATAATGGCCATTTATTCTCCGCTAGCATCGGCGCCTCTTTTGCCGATGAAGCTGAAGCTTGCATTATTTGCTAAATTGCTCTCACCCATACATGCCTCTCATTGAACAAAGTCGTCTATGTAGACTGACAAAACTGGTGTGTGGGCCAAGATCGATCTACTTAAATTCCCATTTGCCAGTAGGAAAACCCCACGCCTCTCTGACGCTCTCCAGCCACTCAGTTACTGGGATCACTTCCCCCCTATGAAGTTTCCATCCGGTCCAATTTGGGCTCCCTTTCTGACTTCTCTCTTGCAGGACAAGACGAAATTCACTGCATCTAGGACTGGCAGTTGATGCCAGTCATGGTTCGCCCGACACAAAACCGATATGATCATTCCTTTTTGAATTCCATCCCGACACTCCTTGCAGAAAACAACATTGAAACAAATTTTGCATGCGTAATAGCCATCACACGGCGTCAAGCAATTGTCACAGTAGCCACTTGTCTACAAGCGACCCAGCATGGCGTCTTTGTACTCCTTCAGAAGGGCTTGGATACGAAGATAGGGGCTTCCAGTACCACTATCACTACTTTCCTGTTCCCAGGTGGTGTCGAGGGACTCGGCTTTTTTGATCAAGCAGTCGATTCCATCCCACTGCGACAGCATAAAGCAGTCTGAGTCCAATGTACTCAGGATCTCTTCGATTCCATCGACCGGTTGTTCAAGTTCATACTTTAACCAAACTAATAACGTTTTTCTATCCATTCGGACGGCAGAAACCATTGAGTGGGCAATTTGGCTGCCCTCAAAATCATCACAACGTATCAGACAGTCTAGGAGAATTGTGTAGGCTAACGGGTCATTTGTCGTAGTGTCGCCGGAAAGGAGATCAAATGCTAGGCCCATGTGAGGCTGAAGGATATTGCGGGCCCTATCAGGTTGACCATGGCGGTGGAAATAGGCCGCTAGATATATCGTAGCCGGAGACAGTCCAGTACAGCCTTGAGCAATCTGCTCCATAATTTCGATATGTCCCTCTTCTCCAGCCTCGGCTTGCTCAAAATGGTATAAACTCAACTGGCGGTTGACCCTTTCTAGATGGAATGTTTTGTCTTCGTTCACTTGTATGTTCTGTTGGATCTCCGACACGCACTCCATCCAGATATTAAAAGCCGAGCTATTTTCGTCTTGTTCATTCTTGCTGTAGTAATGAGTTGCGATTCCCTTGTGTAATAATAACGGTGACAGGGTCTGGTAAATTCGAGCCGTACGAGCCTCTGCTATCGCTGTATCTATATCTTGCAACAGAATATCCAAAATTCGTGATTCAGATGCACATAGCGCAGTCATTCTATACAAGGTATGAAAAGACTGTTCTTTATCTTCAGCGGCCTTTTGAATCAATGGTTTCAATTGCGTTGACTTCTCATTTATGGAATTTCGAGAAGCTTCTTCGAGGAGACTGCGAGCCTCTTCGGTCTTCTGTTGCATGCGGTAGGTCTGGAAGAGGGCGTAGCGGGCATTGATGTTGCTGTTGTCTGTATAAAAGGCTTTCCGTTTGTATTGCAGCTCTAGCTCGGAGTCTTTTTCCATGCCATGTAGATTCCCCAGGCGGATTAATATATCTATCTGGTTTTCTGCTATAACGCATTCGCTATCCTTTATAATCTCAATCGGTCTTGTGGTAAGAGGGCAACATGTTATTCATGCCTCTTCAACGCAGTAATAGGGATTGACTTACCCGTGTATAGTATTTAATGGCATCCCTGCGAAGACCTAGGAACTGACAGGTCTCTGCCATTCGCTGAATCCATAGACGCTGGTCTTTGCTTTGGTTCTTGTCACGCAGGACCCTTTCACACCAGGCATCAGCTGATTGGATTTTGCCTATGAGGGTGGCGCTCTCGTCGATTACCATGCTTTCAGGGGAATTATCGTCACCACTGGAAGCCCTCACATTATCTTCGGGTTCCTAATCCATATCAGCCGGACAAGTTTCCATTAAAATATATACAACACGCACAAGTATTAGATATTCACTAATCCATTCGAATGCGTAGTTGGGGTGTGACTTCTGACTTTGCAGCCAAATGGAAGCGATGAGCTCTGCTAACCGGCGGAATAGATGCCGATCTCGGCCTTTTCGATTTTTTGTATCTTGAATCCATTGTTTGTCGCGTTTCCCCAGGCGGCTTGTTGCTGATTCGTTCAGAAGCCACTTCCAAAACACCTCAATTGCATCACGGTTGCGAAACCAGGTGGTCACCTTTATACCATCCCAATGCTTTCGAATAAACTCCGGGCAATAGAATATATCGTACAGGCCTTCACCAATGCTCACTTTGTCTGATTCTCCAATCGAGTCATGTCCTGTCGCAGTCAATAGAACCGAAAGATGATCATGAAACCATTGGAAAAGATATGCACCAATTGGCTGTGATATAGGATCTGGTTTTTTATTCATAAAACCAAACGTCTGTTTCACAATCAAAAGGTGGGAATCGATTTCGTTAACTTGAATCCGCTTCCGGCGGATGTTTTGAGCATCGGGCACGTGCTTGAAGTCAAAGTTTGTTGACATGGAATGTTCAGTCAGATCCCAGAAGAATTGCTGAACTACTCTGACATCTGCATTTGTGATGGAGATGGTAGCGGTGACCTTGGGGTCATTCTCGGATGGTCTCGGAGTGTTTCGAGGTGTCACCACCCATTCCTTGACACCATCTATCAGACAAACCTTACCATCATCTGTTATCTCCAAGAGTCTTCTATATTTCCCCTGGATCTTCTTGTGAAGTGGCTCCAGTAATCCCGAGTTGGGTTGCAAAGACTAGCATTATCAGTTCTATTTCAACCTGAAATGCAATGAAATCAAGACGCATACATACCAGGGCAGCTTCCAGTTGTTGAGTGTCAAGCCACTCCCGACCATATTCTATCCAAACCAAAAGTACGTTCAACTCATCAATATGTTTGTCGTTTAAGCCTTCCTGCAGCTGCTGCCGCTGCGCATGAGCCAGAGCCGACGAATCTTTTGATGTGTAGTCGAGAAATTGGTCTAGTTTGTCCTTTTCGTCAGTCTGAATGAATTCTTTAGCTGTCAGAAAGAGCTTCTGGGCGCTGAGAAAACTACAGCTGGATTGCTCGAACAGTCTGTCGCATATTTTTCTTCTCAAATCGACAAAGTATTGCCGATCATCCTGGAGCAGATCGGCTTCCTTTAAGCATCTCTCGATGTACCCCTTTAGCTCCTGCTGGGTATGGTTTTCAATTTGAATCAAAGGTACCGATTCACGTAGAAAGCATTGTTTTGTCCCAGTCATGAGTAGACGAAGGTGACCGTTTCGAACAGTCTTGCACGTTTTGAACAGTTCTCGTATGTCTTGCTCTGCCAAATTATCCACTCCATCAAAGAGCAGAAATGTTGCTTTGGCTCGGGGTTTTTCAAATTGAAAGTCTGACCAGAGATCTTTGCAGGTCTTACTATCAAATATGTTCTTTTCACAAAGCCCAAGCAGGGTTTTCCGGTATTTCAAATGCTGACCGGCTAGCTGGCAGGCCATGCATTTGAACGCAGTCTCCAACGGCCTCTTGTCATCATCAGCCTTGTTCGTAGGCGACGGGAATGAATGGTAAGCGATCAATGTCTGCTCATCCTGATGAGTAGAAATTGGTTTTGCATCCTTCAAAGACAGGAAGACTGAAGTCGCCACATGGGTCTTGCCCGATCCTTGGTCTCCTGCTAATAGTAGCATGGGGTTGAAATTAGGCGCACTCTGTTCAATCCAATCGGTGTATTCCTTGAGCTGCTGAAACCAAGTACTCCTGGGACTCGCCTTGTTCAATCCGTCCCTATGGACATTATCCGATGACGCTTGTGAATGGCTGTCAATTCCGAGCCTCTCTCGAATTGTTTTCAGGTCGCCATGGCGGGTTTTTTCTACATCTCGGGTTTGGTTTGATTCCAATAAATCCCTCACTGCTTTCCCAGTCTTGCCCGTCGTCTTCTGAATGCTCCTCAAGTCTCCTCGCATCTGGGAACCCTGGTGGTACATTGAAGCGAGGAGAAGACGTTCTCTATTTTCCCTTCTGACCAAGCCTGATGCATGCAGCGCATAGATCGACAAATCTAATCAAGACCTGGTGCGTGTATCTCCGTAGAGCAAAATCCAAAAGCTCTTCTTTATCTGCCCGATTCCATATGGCAATCTCAGCGAATGTCACATCCACTTGGTCAAACACAGCATCGATAGCTACGTGGAACTGATGGACAGTTTTTGGAATCTCTAGGAGAAAGGACAAAGCACCGAAACACACGGTGGCTGGTGGGAAACTCTGCTCAAAAACCCAGGTTAGCCAACGCTCAGATCGATGATATCCATCCGACTATACCAATGCAGCACCCCCAGCCGCAATTCCACCTAACTTTTGCAACGCAGTTATAATGTTTCTGCTCTGTCCCTTGGACTTTTCCGTCTTTTCAGCTGTTTTCCTATTGGATCGAAGCTCGATTATTCTCTCTTGAAAATCCTCCGGGGATAAGGGGCTAACTTCCCCATCGCTATCCAGTTTCAGATTTGTCTTTTGAAAAAAGCGATCTTTAGCCTGCTGCCAAGAATCTTCCAAAGATACACTTGCTTCAGAGCCGATAGATCCCATTTCGAACAGGTCCCGAAAGGTTCAAAGCTTGCAAGCAAACATATGCGAAGTGATAGAAAGGGGATGGAGGGGAGAAGCGGATGGGAAGAAAGAGGAGAGCCCAAAATGGGAGGATGTGGGAGAACCCAGGGCGGGGTCGCCTTGTTTGCTTTTTTAACCCTTCAGACTTGATCCCCAGCATGTTTGCCAACATTAGCGTCACAGATACCATTCGTGACGGCTGACATGTGTGATAGATACCATATGATGGCTGGACACCACTGCAGCAACAATTGATGCATCTACATGTTGCCAGTCGAACCAGCAGTCATGTCGTCAACAACCCTATAAGACCTCTCCATTGTCTAGATAGATCCCCTCTTCTCTTTTCTTCTTCAGATTCAATATTCTCGTCGATGGCTACAATAATGTAGTTAGGAACAATAATTTATCATCATCTGCAATTCCGAGCCCGTGACATGATTCGCCGTCAGTCAGTGGTTTTGGACTAGGTATATTCCCTGTTAATGAACACGTCAGTCCATGTTCGTTTCTAATTTCTTATTTGGTATTTTTGCACATACCGGCGCATCTTGAACTAACGCAATCAACCACTGAGTCGCAGTTTCGCCGCCTCAATATTATTACTATTAGACATCACCAAAATCCAACTTTGGATCGAAGATCCGGACCCAAACCAGTATAAAAAGTTCTTTTTTTTTGGGAGTATTCATAAAAAAATAATTATTTATCACATTAGAATACTGCTGCTTGTATCAACTACTATGCTCGGAATGATGTCGTAGGCAATATTCAGAACTTATAGAGGAAGAACTCATGAATACACGACAACAAACTTCCTATCTTCTACCTTACCACGCTCTGCTCTGTCCAGTCCTCTTACAATTCAACAAGGCACCCTTTTTAAATGTTCCTCCATAATCACCAGACTATTGGTGTCACTACCTTACAGTTATTGCTCGACGACGGAGTATTGGTACTGGCTGCAATATGAGTGTAAGGCAACGGAGGCCAAGTGTGACAGTATCAAGCAATATAAGTCCATTGGTAGACTATATAGCGGAATACTAACATGGAGAAGGAATGGAAGAAGCTGGGCCTGCCAGCGCTGCGCTGTTTAAGTGTGTGCGAAGGGGGTTCCTACCATATATTCAAACAGGTCAAAGTAGTCAAACACCTTGCGTTATTGGTGAATGCCCCCGCTCCGTGACATCAGCTGCGAAAATCTCACTGCAGGATAGATACAGTGCCTATAATCATAATTTCTGATCATGAATCAGCAAGACATCACACCAGACGAACACATACTATTATCTATCCCAACAGCATGAATCACCACAATCCTGAAATACATCCGAAGTATCAATAAAATGGGTAAACCGCAATAAACCTGATTCCGACACTAAATACTAGGCCTCAAAATGGTCCGATTCAGGTTCCAAAAGTCGGAACCTCGAACCTGAACCTCAGGGTCTCAGGTTCCAAATATTTGAACCTGACTCGGATCGCGGCTCCATCAGGTTCGACTCAGGTTCGAACCTGACAGAACCTGATTTGCATAATTCTGCCAAGAGTTTCCTTTTTTGAACGCACAAAACTGATGATTCATCTTGGTTTTTTACTGTAATCTACCACTGTTTTGGTCATTACATCCAGGAACAGCGTAATGTAGCCACATTCCTTGTGAAATCATATGAATTACATCTGTATATAGAATAGTTAGCATAGGAAATATTATATCCCATTCAACTTAGTGGTTCCGATGCCCTTAATAGGTATTTCCAGTAGAAGCTGTCATTGATCTGTTGTATGATGCGAAGTATATATATTTGGACTTCACTTTACAGACCATATGCATCAACATTTCTTTCAATATATTTCAACAGCCACAATTTGAATCAAATTGGCCCATTTGAAGCTCATATCAGGATACTAATACTTCAATGCTATATATCATTTCATCCTATATTTACTCTGTATGTTCTGTATTCAGACCTCAGAAGCAACAAGACTATTCACTTAAAGACTTGCACAAAAATCAAACCAACTCCATGTCCAGGGGTGATTTTGTCAGGCTCTGCAGGTTCTTGGTCAGGTTCTCCAGGTTCTATCAGGTTCGAACCTGAGTGAACCTGACTATGGTGGACCTCACCAACCAATCATCATACACGTAGGTAGACAGCCCTATATATCATAATTGATGTATCAATTCCCCTCATTCAGCTTGCGTTAACAGCTCATTCTAATAATTTGCTATTTTCCTCAGTCCCAGCTGAATTGGTCTCTAGTATTTCTCTTCCAGTCTTTCCTGATCATTTCTGACTATCATTTACGATGTCGCAAAGTCAAATATCTCAGTTTTCTGATAACTATGCCTCATCTATCTGCGAGGATGCCTCTTTAGGGAGTTTTCCTTCTCTCTCATCTGATTTTCCACAGTCATTTATTCCTGATGTTTCATATGACCAGCAGACGTCTGATTCTACATCTATCACTGAATTTGCGCGGCCTCCAATACCGCCCCCCATCCCCAGCACTCTTGAACGCGTTGGCCCACAGAAACAGAAAAATTACCTGCTTTGGACAGAGATGGTGAATAATGAATTCATCGCATGGTGGTTGAACACTGAGTTTGGAAGTCAGATGAAACGGAATATCTTTGAGAATAAGCGCCAGGCTGAATGTTGGAAACATTTTCATCAGGTTGCCTCTATCCAGGATGGGTCTCCAAAGGTTATGTGTAAAATATGCGACCAAATCCTCAATCATCCAGCAAATGGCCATCATGGAACATCCTCTATGAATAAACATTTCTTGCAAGGGGTTAATTGCCGGCGAGTAGCACCTCGTTCACAAGACATCAGAAGACTTATGCAAGAAGGGGTATGTCAATATATCTATTCCTCCTAGTTCATTCTATCTTTACAGTTCTATTTATCTTAGGCACATCTGGCCTCTCAAAAACCTACATTTACTCCACAAGCCTGGATGGAGAGACTCATTACATTCATTACTGCCTTACAATTACCATTTCAACTTGTTGAGCACCCGCAGTTTCGTGCCCTCATTGAGATGGCCCGACTTTCGCCATCCTTACCAGAAATCCCTTCTGCATATATAGTCCAACGTCACCTTCAAGAGATGGTTGAAGCACAACAGCACAATCTCCTTCACAAACTTCCCACAGGGGCTAAAATCTCTATTGCATTAGATTGCTGGACCTCACCCTTTCAGCAGGCCTTTATGGCCATCACGGGCTACTTTATTGACGCAGATTGGAACTATCATGAGATTTTGCTTGGTTTTGAACCGCTTCATGGCACACATACAGGAGTCAATCTAGGCTCAGTTCTCTTTGACCTACTGCAAAAGCACAGGATTGAGAATCGGGTCTTGACCATCACCACTGATAATGCGTCTAATAACTCAAAATTGGCTGAAAGTATCCAAGACTCCCTTCAGTCACTTGAGATACCAAACCAAGCACCAGTTATTCGGGTACCATGCATGGCACATGTTATTCAACTGAGTTTGAAAGAGCTTCTTGGTAAAATGAAAGCAAACCCAAAGAACAATAGAGAAGACATGGAATGGACTGAAGAAGAGAATGGGACTCAGCAAGAGCATGGAGAGATC